AAGGCTGGATGGATGTTCCATACAGTACTAAGGACCACTCTTTCAATTTGCCTAGAAGTTAAGTATTTAAAATCTAGTTTTAGAAACCACTTCAGTTTTCTGTGTTACCAAAAAAAAAAAAAAAAAATCACTTGTAAACATGACTTTGTGAGTAGTTATGGAAGATGTTGCTTTTCAAGTAAGAGTCCCTAGTTTAACACAGATAGTGCAATCACTGCTTCACTATAAGACAAGAAAGCATAATTTCTTTGATCAGATTTTTACATGGTATTTTCATTTCACTCCACCCTCTTGTAGGTCTAGTAAAAGTTGGCAACCCAGGTTGAATTTAGTATAAACAATAAACAAGAAAACCTTCGGCCATAGAGTTATTTGGAAAAATATACAGTACTCAAAAAGGAGTTTTTGTTCCGGACTTCACTTTCCATCAGACATTAATTATGCACTAATTATTTGAGATTTCTTAGCTAACTAGCTGTACTCAGAATTTTGACTTAAGGAAGTGGTTAAATGTTTATTACTCTGGAGTCCTCTTCATTGGCTAACAAGACACATCTTGATCAACTAAAATCTCTGTGGTAGAACATCAGTGTCCCCTCCCAAACCAGCATAGTATCTTATGTATTTGCCCTAGTTATTTGGCAGATATATCACTACATTGTCTGTTCATCACTAATATTTTAATCGCACAGTACCCAAGTGAAGAAAGAAAAAATAGTTTGCCTGCCTGAAGCATTATCTGACTTTTTGGCAAGTGTTTTTGAGGAAGAATAAAAAAATAAATGTGTATCAAGTCATCCGTTCAGGCTCTCAGGAGTGAACTGTGGAGTTCCAGTCCCCACCTTTCTGTCTATATTACCCACTGGATTAATTTTATGAAAGAGCAAAAGGACTCAGGTCTGAAATAATGCCTAAAGTAATGATGCATAAACCCCATGTTACTACTTGAAAAGATGGAACGTAATTTTGGCCTTATCCTGTTCTCTTGATTATATTTATCTATGATGGAGTAGCTAGTTGTAAATGTCAATTTCTCATCAGAAGAGAAAGGAAACATAAAAGCAGGCAGTATATCTTTTAGGAATTTCAAAGATCCTATTTTGGAGGCTGTTCTGTGGTTAAAATACTCTTCCCTTAGAACTAGTATTTAAGAAGAAATGTAATCCAGGTATCTCTCTTCTCAAGAGAATCACTTAGCATAGTTCATGTAAAATTAAATTCAAGCAATCTTCCTCTTGTTTCATTTTAATGATACTCAATGATTTGAGCTTTCATTGTTTACTTGGACTTTTTCAACCTGTGCAAGAAAATTACTTTTACCTTTGTAAGTAATTTTCTGTATTTTTCCCAATGTCACCTGGCATCTTCCACTGACACGACCAAGACAATATATCATCTCTCTGCTTTTGCATCCATCCTTCAAGTAGTAAGCAACAATGAGCAAAACCACTACCTGACAGATGACAGCCCATTTTTTTTAAATGGTTTATACTGGGGTTGTAGATGGGAATCTGTTATCTCTCTGTCTCTTGCTGGATTTGGTTTGCGTGGCAGGGTTTTGGTAGCAGGGAAGGGGCTACAGGGGTGGCTCCTGTAAGAAGCTGCTGGAAGCTTCCCCGGTTCCAACTTGAATCTGCCTCTGGCCATGGCCGAGGAAATCACTGATGATGGTTGCGCCTCTGTGATAACATATTTAAGGGTTGGGGTGGGGTAGAGAGAGGTAGAGAGTCTGTGTTAGAGAGAGGGGTGGGATGAGAGAGGGACAACCAGGCTGACATCCAGGTCAGCGCGGAAAGGCAGGAGGAGGTGGCCG